CAAATGAAAAGGCTTAAGAACCCCACCCGCTAGTCTGATTTTGACATTAGAAGGGACAATTAGACTTGGGAACCCTTCTTTTCATACGTCTCTCTTTAGCCACTTGAAGAGATCCCCAAGAGTTAGCATCTTATTTTTACACGCAGCAAATCACATGATGTTCTTAATCTTATCACATGTTCTTGTTAACCATTACGTTTCTCCCAATGTAGTCTACCATAAACATTGTGCTAGTTAACATAGGATATGGGAGATACCAAGCTACCAACCAACCCTTTGAAACTTGAATAAACTTTTAGTTCTATATAAATTTTCTTCTGTACATTACAAATTAGAATAGGACTTGCATTACTAGGGTTTGAATCTTTGGTGCTTACATGAGACTCCAATGGAACTTTAATCAATGCTCTCTTGTTTTGTTTGTAGTTTTACATTGATTGATTGGACATTAGATTTTAGGTTTTAAAATTTCGACCTTATACATTTATAGGATTTTTGACCAATAAGGTGGTGACATGTGTCACCACATTTATGAAATTTTCTTTAAAGAAAAATGAAGGAAAAAAAGACCTAGATAACGTTTGGTCTTTTGTAGCGGGATAAGTTGAGTTTCTTTGAAGGGATTGACCTAATTCATGTGCGAAGGGGTACACAACTTTTTGCCTCTTCTCATTGTGTAGGTGTGGTCCTCCATAGAAGAGTCCACTCATAATAATGTGTAAAATTTATTAATTTTACACAAAAAAAAATATGATCATTAGATGAATGTAAATGAATGACTGAGATTAAAATTTTATTATTAGCATTATTCCATGAAAATAGGAAAAGAAAAAAAGTTAATGTAAAAACTTTAATATCAATCATCTATTTAGATTCATTAAATGACAAAAAAATAAATTTATAATTAATATTATTATCTTAACTAAAATTTATAAGGTAATGATATTATAAACAAAAAATTATGGATTTGGTTATTATATAGATTTAGATTTTTGGTATATTTATTGTTGAAGGAATATTAATGATAATTTTATGGGTAAATTACGCATATAGTACTTAAACTATCAGTTTTGGTCCGTTTTAATATCTAAATTTTCAAAAAAAAAATCAAAATTATATCAAGCGTTTAGTTTTCATTTCATTTTAGTATCATGCCATTAAAAAACTTAATGCATTTAGTACCTAAACTATCATTTTTGGTTCATTTTAGTACCTAAACTTTAAGCCTTTCCAAAACTTAATGTTAAATTTTAGGTATTAAAATGAAACAAAAACTAAAGTGTTTAACGACAGAGTAATAAAATGAAACAAAAAATTAAATTTTAGGTATGGTTTTGGAAAAAAAATGAAAGTTTAGGTACTAAAACGGATTGAAATTGATGGTTTAGGTACTGAAGGCATAATTTATCCTAATTTTATTATTGTGATTTAACTTTAATGGAAATTGAAGGGTTCTAGGTTAAATTTGTTGAGTTCAGTGTATTTTCGACGAAACAAACATTAGATTTGCATTCACGAGATCAAAAAGAGTGAATTGAAAATTTTAAAATTTAAAGGTCATCGTTGACGATAATTATCGACAGTTAGCAGTGATCGACAAAGATGGTGGTGAGTGATGGCCAGTGACGGGCAAATTTGGTCAAACTCAAAAATTAAATCAATATTTCATCTACAATTATGGGTCAATTTGATATTTAATCTAAAATTTAGTATTAAAATGATACTTCATCTAAAGTTTAGAGGTCAAATTAAAATTTTATCTTTTTATTGAAGTGTCTGTTTATAAACCGATGATGAAGCAACAAATGGAAGCTTATGATGTTTACCTATCTAACATGGAACACAAACAAGGAGCTGAGTTTCATTAACACCATGTAACAAGCTAACACTACTTTCACTACGCACTTGGAAAACAACTTCACGAGATGGATGACCCAATCGGGCATGCCACAAAACAAACATATTAACACTACTATGAGCTAAATTGGCTTCAACTGCTTGAAACCCATCGTCAAACGTATACAGCCCATCAACTTCTCGCCCCCTAAGCAAAACCGCTCCAAACTTCTCATCTAGAGCCACACAATGACTGGCATGAAACTCTAGGAACACCTTGTTATCCCTAGCAAGCTTCGAAACCGAGATTATATTCTTAGTCATAGAAGGCACATGCAATAAATCACTCAAGAGTAAAGGACGAGAAATAGTAGACAAAGCTGCATGACCAACTTGTTTAATAGAAAGATTGGTACCTTTTCATACAGTCAACCTACCAGTACCTGCATAATCAACACCATCCGTAACCTCGTTTTCATCAGCAGTAACGTGATGAGAGGCTCTCGAATCAACAAACCAAGACGGTGTATTCACAACTGCCACATCAGCACGAGGATTGAATGATTCACCCTCATTTACTACGGAGGCACGAGTGCTCGGTTTCACTATGCACGAGCAGTGATTAGACGAATAACATACATTCGTATCAAATGCCTTCTCCTTCCCTAAACTGTGAGCATCTGATCCATCAACACCAGCAAACGTCTTATCGAAGCAATACCAACACCAACTGACCAGATGCCCATTCTTACAACACAGTTGGCTCTGAATCTTACCACGCCCACGCCCTCGGCCACCAATATAGGACGTAGATCGCTCCATTTTGAACTGAGATTGCTGAGGAACTTGTGTAGAACTAGTAGTCTTGACCTGTGCAACATTAGCAGAAATAGTAAGATTATCCAAACGCAGATAATTCTTCTACTAAGTTTCCGCATCAAGAAGAACGGAAACAACACCCTCAAGAGTCAATGTATCTCTGCTAGCAGATAGAACCGACACAATCGATCGATATTCAGCAGCCAATCCATTCAGAATCGTAGCAATATGTGCAAGCTCGGGAACTGGACTACCTGAAGACGCCAACGCATCACAGATATCCTTTACCATAAATATATACTCACACGTCCCCAGCTCTCATTGACGAATGGCTTTGAGTTGGTAATGGAGATTCATAACCGTCGTGGTACTTTTACAGGCAAAGATTTTGTTAACCAACGACCACACCTGAGCAGCAAAATCGGCACCCACCAAATGTTGTAATAACGACGGGCTAACCGTGGACAACAGCCACGATGCAAGTACGCTGTCCTGAGCCACAAACAGCTCGTATTCTTCATTCTCAACCTCTGATCCATCATCACTAGCAACCATCGGAGGTGGAGGAACAACTGCACCCGTCAACAGCTTCTTGAGCCGATGACTTCGAGCCAACAACACATGTTGCTTCCACAACAAAAAATTCCGATCATACAAAAAAATATTCACACATTTATTTGTGAATACCTTTGCCGCCATCACTGAGTCAGCACCGACCACTGCTCCACCGGAGGAAACAGAACCAAGCGGTGCCATCAGCACAATCACCCAGTGAACCTTCACACCACCACAGAATCACAGACATCTGATACCATGTTAGAGTTTAAAGAAAAATATGAAGAATGTAGTTCTTATTCATGCAGTAAAGGTGTACATGAAATTATCAACAAAGGTACTTATAGCACACAGGACTATTTCCTAGCTTAACAGCTTAGGTACACATCAATAACAAACCGGTAACAAACTCACACTGAATGCACAACTCACACACTAATGACATCAACACAATAACTGCACCCATATTATTCATACTTCAACATATAGATAGGAGGATGAAGAAATCGAAGAGTCTATCGTTGATTTAGGGAGATTAAGGTATTTTCTAGTGAAATGGAGGTCGGAATCTCATTAATGAGTCGAAAAGGTACGAGCTAGAAAGTTTAGACTTCATCAGTCGACGAATATGACGACCGACGACAATAGACATGGCAGCCAGCAAACCTGTTCATCAAGTGTTTAACGATAAGGTACTAAAATGAAACAAAATTAAATGTAAGGTATAATTTTGAAAAAAATAAAAGTTTAAATACTAAAATGAACCAAAATTAATAATTTAAGTATTAAAACAAATAAAATTAATAGTTTAAATATTAAATGGGTTTAGGTATGTGAGGGGAGTCAACAAGAAAAAGGAGACATGGTCCTTTGCATGGAGGACACTTGTCCCATAAACATGAAGGTGTAAACACAGAGGCATGGTAGGTGCAGAAAAGTGGGAGAATATTACTGTTAAAAGACCATTGGCTATCTGTGAGAATTTTTTTCTATTGTGTACAAGTTATTTGAAATAGGGGTCTGCTTTTCTTTATGTACAAGGAATACCTAAATAAATTCTTTTTTTTATTAATTTATTTTATCAAAACTAAAAACAAATTCTTTTTATAAATGATTGTGATTCAAATTTGTATACAAACGATAGTTTTCAAGAAATCATATGCTTGACGATTGAAATCACAAGTGCTTTTCTTTATGTACAATGCATAGTTGTTTATTGAACTATTTATCGTCTCTCAACATCCACCACCTAGTCTTGCAAATCCAAGTATTAGTATTAGTTAACCGTGTTTGCTTACAACCTTAGACCTACACTTTTCTGTATCAAGGTACAAAAGCAGCAGCTCACTTTCCAATGTATTATACAAGGAGTGGAGCGTACATGAAGGCAGCTGAGAACTGGGTGCCGCCGGTTTCACAATTTTCTGGAGATTCCCATCCATTTTCAATTAGATATAATGTCAATGGGAATTGGGTTCTTTTCCTTCTCCTTTTCAAATGCTGATTTGCAAAGATCTTAATTCTTATGCCTTGTTCTTGTGCTCCCAAAAAGCTTCCACCTTTTGCTAAAGCTCTAATATTTTCACATATATTCCACCTTTTCTGCTCCCTGTATGCATCGCTTTCTCTTAAAAATCATAACCTTTTTTTTTTCTAGCTCAGCTCTGCAATGTTCATGTGCAGAGCTGCAAAGCAATGTGAAGTTGACCGTATCAAAAACAACAATAAAATACCAAAAGTAATATCACTAACTTTGATAACATTTTTGAGAGATCACATTACAATTGCTCTTCTTTTGATAGTTAATGCCGAGCAAAGACATAAACTGGTTTAAGGTTTTGTTCTGAGACAAGGGACACTATTGCAACAACTGGTTTCTTCATGTTCATCTGATTCAATGCTTGATACTTGGGTGATCCCACTGGACACAGAAGAGGAAGAAGAAGGGACGAGATTCAAGTGTGTCCGGTCGCCTTTTGTGAGGAAATCATAGAAAACAGGACTGTTTGTTGTCCTTGGTTTACCGACTTCATCGTTTTTAGCAGATCTTTTCTTCAAGAAAATCCGACACAACACCCAATTTTCCACGGGCACGGCATTGGTCTGCATAGGGTTATTGTGCTGCGGGACAACACGATACTCATGCATGATCCAATCTGTTCTACATCCATTCGGGGCTTTCCCTCTGTAAAAAACCAGGGTTTTCTTCATACCAACAGCTTGATTTCCCCTGGATGTTACGATTTGTTTGTCGAGTCCGGTTGCTTTCCAGTAGCCTGAAACCGTGGCTCTGTTGGATCTGTTGGTGTTGGGATACTTGGCTTCCCTTGTGCTAAAAAAGTACCTCTCCTGCTCCAAATCACCTGGTTTTACACACAACAAAACACTCAAATTCATTAAAAAATACATCAAATTTGGTCGTAAATGTAAATTAAGCCATGGGACATGGGTGAGATTGTTCAACCAACCTGGTAAATCCCAAGGGTCGGCTTTACAAACATCGACCTCGGGGATGATAGTGGCAGGCAAGGGCCAAGCCAGCACCTTTCTTCTCAAGTATTGAACCACTAGCTCTTCATCTGTGGGATGGAAACGGAATCCAGGAGGCAATCTCAGCACACCATTCTTCAAAAAATTAAGCTTCTCCATCTTCAAAAAGCAAGCAGCTTAACAACAACAACAAAAAACCCAGAAAGGTTGAGTCTTTAAACCACAAAGTGATGCAAAGGTGAAGCCTTTGTGAGAGAGATGGGGTATAAGATAAGGGGGTAATGGTTGGGGGGTCTTTTATAGATGGTAATGGTTGGGGGAGGAGGGCGAATGGAATAAGGACGATGCAAATGGCGTAAACAAGACTCAACCTTTAAATTTAAACAAAGGGGTTAATAATAATATTAAATTGGATTTGTGGTCGTTTGGGAAAGGGTTCAAGTTTGTTTTTTTGTTTTGGATGAAAGAACCGAAAGCGTCTAAGGAGGAGGAAGCCTAGTTGTGTTCGACTTCTTCGTCCCCATGCGTATGGGAATAACCGTAGCTGCTTCTCTTCATTTTCAATTCTTTTCCTTCATTCCATAATATCTCAAACCTTGTTTCTTTTTTTTTATAACAGCTTCTTCTTTTACTCGTTCGAATCTTGCTTCTATTCTCAATGTAATATCACAATTAATAATACAAAATTTTCGTATAGAATTAACACAATTAAAATTTCAGAATAAATATCATTAATAAAATATATAACTAATAGAAAAACTCAAATTGTTGATGTGGTATTTTTTTTATTTTTTAAATGATAATATGAAATTATCATATGATGGTATGTCAACATCATCATTAATTTTCTAACGATGAATGATTAAAATAAAATCAAAGTTAAATATTAGATATGAGACCGAAACGTAAGTGATAGTTAAATACTAAACTTGTAGACCCAACTTTTTAACAATGTACGAGTGTGTTTGGTGAAGGAAAGTCGTATCGGTGTTTTGATAAATTCATAATAAACAAAAAGATAATATTTTTTTAAGTCTCATAGATTATGACTTATGAGATAATATATATATAAAATTTAATTAATTAATTAATAACGTACATATATTTTACTATATAATTATTTAAATTTAGAATTTTTAAAAATAATAATATTTTTTATTCCTTCTATTATTTAATGGGATCAGAATATATCCTAAATATGGTTGTAAGGGGTGAAATCAGCTAGCTTTATGTCAAAAGGTTACAGCTGGAGCACACCAAGCAAAGGAAGGGACTTTAAATGAAAGTACGGAAGTACCCTTCACATACATGCAAAAACCAAACGAATTAGGGTGCAAGATATCGTTAGCCGTTTGGTTTCTGAATACAGCGGCAACACACATCGCACCCTTCCTCTTTGGTTTATGCTCGTTTATCAAATTAAATTACGATAAATTTTTTATTTAGTCCTTCATCTATTATTCAATTTCTGTTTCGATTATTCAATCATCAATTTTTTTAAAATTATATCCAATATTACGCTTTGATTCTATTTTAGTCACCCACATTTAAAAGAAACAATGGTATGCTGATGTGGCATTTATTTCTTATTTTCCAATACTGACGTGATACCGTCATCATTAATTTTTTTAATAATAGGTGATTAAAATAAAATCAAGATATATATTTTTTAAAATAATATATAGGTGATCAAAATAAAATTTGTGTAATAGGTGAGTAACCAAATATACAGTTTACCCATTAAATAAATAAATGTGAAATGAAACATTCACAAAAAATGGAATAAAGAAGAAAACTGGAGGCTTCGAATTGTTTTATACGGCATTCATAGAATTATTAGTATAATGCTTATCATATCTATATGCCAAGAACATAAATCCTTCAATATGTACTCTTATTGGAAAAAGAAGCCATCTTGCTCACCCTGTAATTTCTTTTTAAATATTCTAAGGCTTAAAATATTATGGGCTAAAATGTATATATAATAAAAATTAAGGGTTAAATGACTAAATTGATAAAATTGAAGGTCTTAAAGAAGTTATTCTATCTTTTTAAAAGACAACATTCTTGATTTCTTATTTACTAATCAAATATCGATGTTAGAATGTGCCGAATTGATAAGTTGGATGGAATGTATAACTTGGTTATGTATAACTAGGTCTATCACTAGGAGGACTAGGACAGGGTTTCATACTACTATTATTACTAATATTCGATATATAAGTACAATAACATTGATAGGTCAATATAAAGCACTAATAAGACATCTCAAGATTTTAACTATGATGAATATAGAGAAAGTCCATAAATAAATTTCACACAAATTTTGATACTCAAAACCTTAGCTCATTGAGTAATCACGTTTAGTGATCTGATCAATCTGTTCATTTTTGCTTCCTCATATACTTTTAGGTTATAGTTCTAAATTCACTAGGAACACTCTCTTTTCTTCCTCTAAAATTCCCGTCACATCCCATAAATATTGAGGTTAATTAACGGATTAAAGTAAATTAATTTGAGGATTAAATTGCAAATTTTTAAAATAATATATTATTATTCAAGTTTCCAAGAAAATTTAGGAACTTTAACCCTGATTTTACCCTTTTCCCGTTGCTGGTAGAAAAATAAATCAATTTTGTAATTTTTGGGTTTTGAATGTGTAGTCTTTAGAGTTTTCTTCTTATGCCTTAACCAATTAGACTAGATTATTGTGACCGATGTAATATGACAAAAATATTAGATATACCAACTAAAATGTATTTTCAACCTACAAATCATTTGTTTCATTCGATTCAATCTCGTGTAAAATCATTTTCTAGACACCCATCTCTCTCCCTCATCCCAAACCACTTCTTGTCTCCGTTCAATCGTCTCCAGTCAGCGATGGTGTTCATTGTTGCCACTAACAGCTTCGGTGGTACCTCGCGACCTCAATCCTGACCGTGTTTTACCCAAATCAAATGTCGATCATTGCGAATCATAAGAAATAGTTCGAAGTCCTTAGCGTCGATCGCAACCACATTTGCTGTTGAGTGACACTGCCCCACTATTAGGACCATTGGTTCTGTGCAACCAAAACCCTCATCGTCCCTCACCTTAAAACGTCGTGGTTGTTTTCCCGTCGAAACCCTAACTCATCATCTCAATCTTTTGCAAATTCAGGTCGATTCTGCCACCGTTGTGCCACACCGCCCTCGTCATTGAGTTCCCCAATCAATTCCGACGAAAACCCGACCATCATGGTCCCTCACCATTTTTGTTTCCCATTGTCGTCGTGGGTAAGTTTTCGTTTATACTTTGTTTAGTTTTACATTGATTTGGGTTTATTTTCGAGCTGTTGTGGATTGATTTATGTGTTTGGTTGCCTTTTGAGCGTTCTATCGCCCTTCCCCATCCCTATCACCACTGCATGCGTAGCCACACGCCATCGTCATGTGTGGGCCTCTCTCCCAGTCGAATCTTTTGGAAAGCTGAGTCAATCGAGTCAACTCGAATCAGTCAGAGTCAACCTGAATTGCTCTGACCCGTTAACTTTGATCGAACTGTTGACTTTGACCGTGTTGACCATTGACTTTGTCTAAAAAGTCAATTTTTTCAGAAAAATCTTGTTTTATGTTTTTCTACATTATGAGTCTGAATTCAAGGTATGATTTGTCAAATTCAAACCTGGTAAGTTATTTTCATCATTTTATCGTCTGATTTTAATAGTTTTCCCGATTAAGTTTCGTTTCTTACGTAAATTATTTTTGCTATGTATCCGAGACTTTATGAGATGCCAAATTCAAGTTCATGGGTGACCAAATGGGGTTTAATTAGTCGATAGATATGACATAAAATTGAGGTAATGCTCTACTATATTTTGTATGCTTTTGGAACACGTTGATATTGGTTAATGCATTAATGAGACCTGGATGACTTCTAGAATAAATTGGAAGATTGATAAGAAATAAATTCAAGTCCACTAATTAATCAATAAATCAATTACCTAGGATCCTTAAACTTTGATTATTTTCGTTAAAAGTTTTAATTACCGGAAATATAAAGATAAGAAATTGTGAAATTTACCCTTGTGGTGTAAAAATACAAGGATTTTCTCTAAAGTTGAAAATAACCCCGAAAACTATACCTGACCCGATAAAACTATTGTTTCACCTGTTAAATGCTTGTTTGATTCATAAAGTTCTGATAACAGACTTTAACCCTTGAGATGGCAAAAGACTTATAATTTTGATTTTGTAATAAACATCTGGAGACTAACTTTTTGAAAGTAATGCAAGTGACAAAATTAAATGGAATGAATGAAATACCCTTAGAATGAAAAAGAGACATGTATCACCCCTGACAGTGGAAATGACTAAGGAATTCACTCTTGACTTGATAGATCTACAGAATCCTCAATTAAATTCATGATTTGATTGGAAAAATTATGATATTTGATTCTTATCCTTTGAGATTAAAATTTACTAAGATATTCTGATTTCAGAATAATTATCTAAAGACCAATTTATTGGGAGTACCACATGTATAAATTTTCTTGAAATAACCAAAATGCCCTTAGACCCCCTAAATGGTCGAAATACACTTAAGCTCCAAAGTGAATAAAATATCCTTTAGTTTTGAAATGACTGAAATACCCTTGTGACATAAAAATAAGTGAATATTTGTGAAGTATATCGTTCTGGATAATTGAGAAGTATCGCGATGTTGGGATATTGTTAGGATTTTCGGAAGCTCGAATCGACAACTGGAATGGTTTGCAAAGAGGGGTCGGAACGGTTTTGTGTTTAGGGAGTAAGGAGATTGAAAGATAGAGAATTGCACAGTGATTTATAGTGGTTTGACTTTCTCAATCAAAGTTTACGTCCACTACCTTAGCTCCTCACCAATGATTTTCCAACAAATTCACTAATTTGTTCTTTCTTTTAAGGACAAAGAGTAACCTTACAACTCCCTAGTTTTTCTGGGCTAAACTAGAACCTTTTCCCTAGCTTTTACACGGGATAATCTATAACATTTCCCCTTTACAAAAGGATAAAAGATGTAAACAAGAAAACCTCTCTAAGGTAGGTGTTTACAAGATTGAGCTCACAAGAACAAAATATTTACAAGAGAAAGATGAAATAAGAATGAAAAACTCTTCTCTTGTGTTTGATTGCTTGGATATTTGTTCTCTTGCTTCTTCAAGTGTCCTTAGCTTGTATTTATAGCTTGGAATGTGTTTGAAGTCGTATATAGTCATTAGGGATGTTTTGGAGCCGTT